CCCAGTCTGTATGTATAGCCAGGGTTGCCCATTCCCAGGTGCAGAATCCAGCACTTGTCCTTGTTAAACCTCATGCAGTTGGTGATTGCCCAGTTCTCCAATCTGTCCAGGTCTCTCTGCAAGGCCTCTCCACCCTCGACGGAATCAACAGCTCCTCCCAATTTGGTGTCATCTGCAAACTTGCTCACGACACCTTCTAGACCTACATCCAAGTCATTTATGAACACATTAAAGAGAACTGTCCCTAAAATTGAGCCCTGGGGAACCCCACTAGTGGGTGGCCGCCAGCCTGATGTAACCCCGTTTACCATAACTCTTTGGGCCTGACCCATCAGCCAGTTTCTCACCCATCGCACTATGTTTTTGTCAAACTGTATGCTGCTCTTGAACCTCCATCCTATGTTTCAGTCCAGGTTTTATAGCCACAAGTCCATTTAAAAAAAAAGTCTCTGATTCTGGTTCGTATCCATCAAGGGAGAATCTGAGGAGAGGGTGACCATGCTGACCTCAAATATTGTACTGTCTGATCAAAGTATATTATACAGTTGTGGGAAGCCTTCATAATACATTGAATCACAGCAGTAATTCTGTAAGTGAGCAGCGAATTTTAGTCACCTATGAAATTAGACATGTTTTCTAAGAAACTGACTCCTTCTAAATTAAATACAGCATATTTACCAAATAGAAATTTCAGTGGTGTTCTCTTAATAAAGAATGCCTCTCCTGAATGATAATAGATGCCTTCATTGCTTTTTGAGACAAACGGAGAGATGAGAAATTGGAACCTTAAAAAATAAATTCCTATGATGGCTCCTACATCACCACTTAATGATACAATCTGGTTTTTATTTTTGTTTGTTTTCATGCAGGATTAGAACAAAGATGGACAGATAAAAATATTGAGCATCTCCAAGGAACCAGAAACCAGTATAAAAGAAAATATGACATGTCTCAGAATTTTTTTTCTTTACAAGTGTCTGTTTGCATTACCTGTTTGGAACCATGTCAGCCTGTCTGTGGAAAGTGAGCTCTTTACGTCTGTTTCTAACAATTTTCCAGAAGGTGGTTTTGACAAAAAAATCAAGAACCAGCCACTCCTGTATACAAATAGTCATCAGTCCAAAGCTAATTTTGACTGGGTTGTGATACAAAATACTACAGAAAGCCTGTCATTGTCAGAAATCACAAATTACAATGTAAAAAAATTAGTCACTTTATTATCTAATTTCGGACAAGGCTCCAGGTTACAAAATCTGACACTAACAAATATGTCAGTGGACTGGAATGCTCTTATTAATGTTTTTCAGACTGTATGGCACTCATCCATTGAGTATTTCAATATTAACAGTGTAACACAATTGTCAGACATCGAAAGATGTTACTTTAACTATTCAGGTACCTCTATGAAAGCATTGACGATGAAGAAAGTTATAATCACAGATCTGTACTTCACACAAGATGACCTATACAGAATATTTGCAGACATGAATATTGCAGCCTTGACAATAGCTGAATCAGAGATGATACATATGCTGTGTCCTTCATCTGACAGTCCCTTTAGATATTTAAATTTTTTAAAGAACGATTTAACAGATCTTCTTTTTAAAAAATGTGACAAATTAATGAAACTGGAGACATTAATCTTGCAGAAGAACAAATTTGAGAGTCTTCCCAAGGTAAGCTTCATGACCAGCCGTATGAAATCACT